TCATTTCAATCTTTTTTATTAATAAAAATGTCATATTTACGTAATAAGCTTTATCAATTATGCATATTCATCTTAATCACGCTCGATTAATTTAAACTATTTTCCGCTAAATAAATTTTATTTCCCGACGCTTTTTACCCCATTGATTAAGACGCTTGAGAACACCCTTAATCTCCTGATGTACTTTAAACAATAAACACTAGCGGAACGTTATCCTATGTTACACATTACTGCAATAGCATTATAATATTTAGATACAATAGCATTATGGTATTTCAATATAACAGCATAACGGATAACATTACGGCACGGCAAATAATACGGCACATGCCACGGAGTTGTAATTACTGAAAATTTAATGTGCAATATGATAGTCATTTATGATGATGTTATTTATATTGTAAACTGTGTCGGTTAAAAATTTATGGGAACCAATTATTTAACTCAATCGTTTTTATTCCGCCAAATGACAAAACAAATTAATGAATTTGAAAATAATAATGAAACATATATCGGATGAATAACTCGTATAAATAAGAAACTGCTATAGAACCTGAAGATCTCGAAGAAATAGTTTACAAAAAACCTATGGACAATGTTGAAGAAAGAGTACACGAATGGATCTTAAAGGCTCTGTGAGAAAGTGCAGTATAACGTTTACTTATTGCAAAGAGCTCGGACAAAAGATATGCATATAATTACTCATTTAGCATCTTAGCACAAACAATGTTGCTAATGTTAGTGCGGGAACATGGACTACCCAATCACCACCAAAAACGACAACCAACCCACATGATATACCCAACAATTAGAGGCAGTATTGATTTGCAAAGTAAGGCTAAATCAGATATATCGTGGGGACAAAGAGCAACCTAATCAATACTTTATTCAAAAAACGTTCACTACTCTTTATTAAGGGCAAAAAGAGCCCATTTTATAATAATTTTTACATGCGGGGAAACAAAGGAGAATCTATTGCGCAATTTCGCGCAATCATCGTGGCAGCAATTGTTTCCTCCCAAGGCTTAATTGTTTGTTTATTGTACTGCTCCAAGCCTAAAGTCTTGTGGTCTTGAGGCTTCATGGGAACAATTTCCTCACGACTTCGTGGGATTCCGAATCGGGGTCTTGGTCACCTCGCATCGAATTCGGCGCAGCGGATGTTGGAGGTTTTACCACCACCAACACTAGCTATTTTTCTAAAAAAAATAGCGCTATAGATGCTACTAAAATTAGGCGACTCTGTATTATTGTAATGACCATATTCACGTAGTTTCACTTTAGCGTTCTTTCACAGTAATATTAAAATAATATTATTAAATATATAAATTATATTACATATTGTGTAATTGGATTTGGAAATTTATATCTGAATAATTAATATTATTAAACGAATCTACCTAATTAACATTGTTTTCAAGATGATATTGTGATTTTACATTCTTTGTTATTACAATCATTAATACTCCCACAATAATTATCATCACGGTTATTATTTTTGACGGAATCATTTTTACAACAACCACCATCGAAATCTTTACTTTTCGCCCAAAGAATCATTTCTATTCCTTCTTTTGCAAAAAATAACCCTAAAATTAAAGCAGAAGCAGAATCTATCCACCAACCACCACTCCAAACAGAATAGATCAAGCTACCAAAAAATATAACAAGGGTAACTTTAATACATGATAGAGTACACTTTGCATCAGACATCATTGACGAAGAATTAAGCAGTTTAGCAATTAAGAGTTTTGAAAACCAAAGAAGTGCCATAAAAAATATTGAAATAGATGAAATGATTAAACCTGCCAAAGCTGTATCAGGTTTTCCATTTTTCACTAAAGTATAAATTGCGTCCGCAAATGTTCCAATAGCAAGTATAGCAAATAATGTACCGATTACAATTGTTGCCTTTCTTTCAATAGCTATTAAGTTATCAGTAGAACCTTCTTTATGAAAGCCTGAACCTTTTTTCAAAAATCTCCATAACACCACACATGAAGAAGCAACTTCAACGAAAGAATTAATTCCAAAAAAAAGCAAACTGACTGATTCATGTTCTGCACCGAAAAACACTGAGACTGTCCCTTCAGCTAAACTCCATAAAATTGTAAGAATTGATAAGAATATTGCAATATTAATAAGTTTTAAACGAGATAATGATGTCAATTTCATTTTTTGAATGGGAATAAAGATAATTTAATAGTTTTGCGAAAAAAAGATGTTCATGAAGTTTTCTTATGTAATAAAGATACTGATGAAATAAACTAAAATGTTTTATCACTATTGAAATTTCACGAGTATAAAGACCTTGACCAAATCCGGTATAGCATGTACTCCGCAGAAATTATTGTACTACATATTGCAACTCAATTCCGATGATCAGGACCTGTGGATTTTGTGATATAATTTAACAAATTATGTTTTCGATAGTCCGAATTTGTATAAAATTTAAAAATCTATCTAATAAGTAACTTGCGATTTTTTTAAAAAAAGTTGCACTAAAAAAAAATTTGGGTTATATGCGCAAATATATAGCCCATGATATTTTTATTTCTTTGAACTATTGAAATATAAAATATTTTATTATATTTGCTAATAATTTCATCGTTTATGCTTGAAAAGTGCATTTTCTATAATCGAAGCAAATCGCAGTAAACCACATAAATTTTGTTGTTTAGCATATTGATAATTTTCAATCATTTTTATTATTTTTATAGAAGTTAAATGTAAATAAATTTCTTAATTGAATGTACTGGCTCGGCTCGGACCCTCTTGTGATTTACTTCGATCACAGCAAATCACAAAATCCACAGGTCCCTGTACAGTAGTAATATCCAATATTTTTAAAGAAACGTTATAGTTGAGGTTGAATTTGAAATAGGGTTTAATTATATTAAATTTTTAAAGAAATTTTTTTTTCGTTAGAGCGCAGAAGGCGTTTTAATAATTAACCGCACAAAAAATGCGCGACAGATCCTCGATTTTGATTGGCTAACGGCCGAGGATCTTCAAAATTTTGGCCTGCATTACTAATTTAAGGCCGGAATTTACTTTTTAATTTTTTCATTACAAAAATAGAAAAAATAAAACCCACTTATGGTAAAATTGGCCCGGGAACAATTTTCACTTAATAGACGGCTGCGATTAGGGTTGGCATTACATGAATTACAATTTACGTTACATGTAAATTACATTATAATTTACGAAATTGTATGTAAATTTTACATTAATAGAAAATTAGCACATGATTATGATGTAACCTTACATTAAGAATGTACCGGAATTATAACAATTCGATGCTCACATTCTAATGCTACTTTTTTTGCTCAGTTTTTTTTTTTTTTTTAGCAGACTAATTTTGCATATTACAAGAAGAAAAAAAAAAGTATGTAGATTTTTACTCAGAATAATTATCAAATTCATACTCACAGTTGTCGAATGTATTAAGAAGCCAATTAGAAAAATTGATAAAGTTTTTATTAAGCTCTTCATTTTCATCATTATCTACATTAATATCAAGTTCTTGATTATCTGAATTAACAGATGTTTCTTGTGGATTGTTAATTAATACAGATCTTCCCAACTGACGGAGAATTTGTGTATTCCAATAAATATAGACAAGCTTATTTGCTTTTTGAGTAAGCATTCTATTATACAGCTTCGAATAGATGAATCCATAGGCAGACCAATTACACTCACTAGCTGCAGAAGTGGCAGGGATTGATAAGACTTTGCGTGCAACTTGACTTAAAATCGGATATTGCAAAACCACCTGATTTTCCAATATATTCTGCTAACTCATCTAATACTTGAATTTTATTATCAACTCCTGCAATTTGAATCACTTTATTATTTATTATATCCGCCCATATTTGGAGATCAAGATCTTTACCACGATATCTAGGATTAAGCATATATGCAACTATAATTGCCGGATTGTATAAAAAATTAACACATCGATTTTTAGTTGCTTGTAATGTAACGTCACAAAGTTCTACTGGAATTTATATGTTGTTTATAATTTTTTTTTTTAAATCTTGCAATATTTTATATGCAGAAGAAAGATATAGTTCATCACTCTCTAATTGACGTATAAAAATAATGAATGGTTCTAAAAAATCATGAAGTCTTTTTAGATCTACCCAAAACGTATAATTTACAATAATTGCTTCAATATTTTTGTCTAATTCAATGCTATTTTCAGTTAATATAGCATAAATTGCAGCTTGTGTTCGTAAAACATGATCAAGACACTCAAACGTTGATATCCATCTTGTATTGATGGTTAAAACAAAAGCAATTTCAAAACTGTAGATTTCTTTTTGTAACTGACGAAGAGTTGCTATAGGAATTTGATGATTACAGAAATACAAAACTAATTCTTTAGTTTTTTTTAAAATTCGTAAAGCCTATTCATTTTTAAGAATATCCTTAACCCAAAGGTTTATTTCATGAGCCCAACATCTGAGAAAGATCTTGTTTGAATATTTATTTTTTAAAATATTCTATGCAGCTTTCATATTATTTGCATTACCTGTAATTACATAGACAAACTTATCAATATTAATTTCATGCATTACATTTTCAATCCCTTTAGCTATATTTTTCACAGTGTGATGTTCTTCTTTAGTACAAACCAATTTATAAAAAATCAGATCAGGTGTAGTAATCATATAATTAATTATTGGTGACTTGTTAACATTTGACTATTCGTCACTAACCAAACAATGATAAGGTGTTTCTTCAAGGGTGTTTTGGATAACTACTTGTAGATTCGTGTATTCTTTATCAAGAAGTAAATTGGAAAGAGTACGATGTGATGAAATATTAAAAGAAGGACAAGCCTTTTTAAGAAAGGCTTAAAAATCTATATTTTCAATTACATTAAACGAAACTCTGATATGTAAAAGGCATGTGCAAGCAAAGATTCCAATTCAATTTGTTCTTGCGAGGTAAGGTTTGATACTTTTTGTCTTTTATTAGCATTGAAAGTTTTATTCAAATTGCGTAAAGTACATGTATTAATATGCTCTTGCAACCGAGTTATATTTTTTGCTCATTTCTTCTTGCATGCTTTGTATTTGAAATGTTCTTTATCCTTTTCATCGATTCTTATAGTATATTCATCCTGTATATCTTCAATTTTGTTTCAAGCCATTTTAATTCTGTTATAAAACTTTATATATTTTATTTTCTTTATATAAGTAATACAAATGATTATAAGTGATACAAATAATATAACTATTTTTTTTAAAAAAAATTTGGCAGTCTTGTTTTTACTTTATTAGGTTTAATAATATTATCAGTCATGGGACATGTCCTTATACAGGGGTTTGGATTGATGTTAATATGATAAATCGAATGTCGATCATTTGAATTT